GGGGGGGGGGGGGGAAGGAGGCTCCTGCAGGCCGCGATGCGCCCGCGGGCAGGCGGACAGAAGTGCTGACTGCTTCTCCCGCCCCGCTTAATGCGGGGTACAAGGGAGGTGCGGCTTCTGTGCACCCCCGTGTCCGCCCTGTTCTCTCACAACCCCCCTCCCCCACACTGCCAGGGTCAAGTGTGTTCCCCCTTGTCCCCCCTGGCCCTTGTGCTGGGGCGGGTGCTAGTGCCACTATAACGCCCAGTGCGCGGCAGGGAGCACCCCGGCCCTGGCCCTGGCTCTCAGGAGACGTGAACCTGCGGCCTAAAGGGGAGGAGGCCGGCAGGCTCGGGTCAAGGCTGGGGCAGGTCCGCTCGCAGCGCCCGTGGGCATCCCAAGCCTCGGTGCGCTGGGGGGCCCACGGGAGCCCCCGCTGCAGTCCCAGCCCCTCTTTCCCAGGGCCCGGGCCTGCCTCCCTCCGCCTGGAGTGCACCCCTTGGTGCCTCTAAATTCCCTAGTCCCGGGGAAGCAACCAGGGAGGCTGCCTGGTAGCCCCTGGCCAGGGGCAGTGGGGACGCAGGGCCTGGCTGGCACCCGCCTGCCCGCGGGGAGCCGGGGCCAGTTGTGACGCCACAGCCGCTGCCTGTGATGTCACAATGGACCGCAGCTCCCTGATGTCGCTTTTTGCCCTGGGCCCAGCCGCTTCCCGAGGGGGAGGGAGCGCCTGGGGCTGCTCGACGGGAAGGCCCTTCTCACCCCGGGGCCCGGGCTGCCCCAGCACCCCCCGGGTGGTGGTGGTGGGGGTATCCCGGCTGGCGAGGTCAAGGAGTGGGGCAAGGCAGTGTCCCCACTCCTCCAGGAGCCCGTCCCCGGCGGGAGATGCTACACCGGGGCAGTCACCCCCTTCCCGGCTGGGACGGCAGCCACCGTGCTTGCTCCCCCCGGGGTGCTGCAAACCTGCCCGGGCTTGGGGCGCGCAAAATCCGCGCAGGGCGATTTTCAAAGCCCGCGATTTCCTCCCTGCTGCCCGGGGCGGCTCCTCCTGGGGACCCGCGGGCCGGAGCCCGCCTCCAAGCTCGGGGGAAAGGCCCGGGGGTCGCGCTTCGCAGGCCTGGAAAGGGAGGAGCAAGCCCGCTCCGAGGGGGCCGAAGCGGGGAGCCCCGGGCCTGTATTCCCCCCTCCCTCCGGTCTACGAGCGCCCGCTGGGGATCGCCGCAGAGAAACAGGAGCCCCGGGGGATCCCCGCAGGGCGAGGCCGCAAATGCCCGCCCCAGCCGCAGGACCCCCGCAGTCGCTGCGGCCCGGCCCGTGCCCGCGGCATCTTGTTCGGCCCCGTCCGGGGTCGGCCTCGCCCGTGTGATCTCTTATCGCGGAGCAAAGGCGCAGGCCGGGCCCCGCGTCACTCTTTTCCCGGGTGCTCCCGGCTCTGGAGAGAGCTGCGGGGCGCCGAGCTGCTGCTGCGGGTGCACGTGGTAGCCGTGCGGGAGAAACCTCCAGTTCCCTGCTGCAAAGGAGCTTCCCCAGCCCGCTGCGGGCTGCTGCTCCGGCTGCGGGCATTGCCCCGGCTCCGTCCCTTGCTCGAGCCCAAACCACCGGGCGCAGAAGCGGAGCAACAGCCCGCACCCGCGCCTGCGTGCACGGGGGTGCATTCCCGCGTGCTCCGGGCTTAGGTGGGGCTTTCGCCACGTGAAACAAGCAGATCCAGGCGGGCCAGATCCGCGCCGGCCGCAGCCCGAGCCCGAGCCCAGCCCGGGCGGCGGACACAC